TCATATAATAAATAAATGTACACTGTAAGATTTTATTAAGACATCAGACCCATTTTCATAAAAGCATCGCCTTTCATTAAAAACATTGTATACCTGTCATATGTAAACGATTTTCCTTTTAAGGTCTTTAAAAAGGGGGTGCATTGAGTAAAGTGCTGTGCAGGAGCGCAGTGAGTCCCTGTCAAGGGGAACTCATCCCACTCCCCTTTAACAGGTTGTGTCTCTCGGGGTCTTGTCAAGGTGCTCAGAGGAGACCCCCACCCTGTTGCTCCTTCCCCCCTGTCTTTCCTGGAGAGTCGGGCCTGCGCTGCTTTGACCTTTCCCGTGTGGCTCCGACTCCTTCGTCCGAATGAGCACAGAGGCGATTCTTCTTTGTGGCTGTGTCCTGGGCGTGCCGCATGTCGCTGATTTTATTGTTGCTGCAGCCATCCGGATCACAGCCACGGGGGGGATCTGCATGTGCCTTCTTACCAGCAAGTTTCTGGAGGTCCATATGGCGTCTTTGATGGCAGCTAGGGTGAGCCATTGCTTAGAAAAGACCCTAGCACAGTCTTGTTTTTGGCTCACCCCATACATTACCAGCTGTGCTGTGAGGACCTCCCTTGCCGGCAAGCACGGGAATTGTAAGGAGTCGGCTGTTGCCCACTGGTCTACGGCAGCGCTGCACTCCCAGAGCAGATGCCTCACCGTCTCAGGTGCGCCACAGCCTGGTCGGGGGCAAGTTGGGTTTTCCGCCATGCCCCGGGAGTGCATTACGGACCTGACTGGGAGGATCTCATGAGCCACCATCCATGACATATCTCGGAGTCTGTTTGTCAGAGTGGGATGGTTCACGTTGCACCAAACTGTTGAGGGCTCACCGAAAGCGAGCCCGTGCACTGGACTCACTGGTTCTCGCTCCTGCACAACAGAGAGAAGGGAGCGATGATTAGTTAAAATGTGCAAACCCTCCTGCTCAAGCTGAAGTTTCTTTAAAAATGTTTGTATAAAAGCATAAGGTGGTGGCAGGTTAAAGGACACTGGTACTTTGAGGTCAATTGGTAAGATCTTTATCCTTCTTAAAAAGGTCCCCATCCAGAATGTTGTCATTGTCTCTTTGGGTTTTTGGAGGGGGCAGTGGCAGCGTAGATGTGGAGTGCTGCATATCTGCTTCCTAGAAACAAGTGGAGGTCTGGAACTCCTTTCCCCCCTTTCTGTTTTGACTTTTTCATCTCCTTTCTTGTTATCCTTTCCCACTTGGACCCCCACAGAAAATAAAATATTGCTCGTTCTAGCTCTAGAAGCACTCTCCTGGGTGGGATAAAAACAGAACCGACCAGTAGAAGCAGAGGTAAGATCACTGCTTTGATGATTAAAACCTTGCCTTCCATGGTCAGTCCTCTAAGTCCCCAGTATCCTAGTCTCTGTCTGACTTTCCCTACCAAACTCGTCCAATTAGTTTTCCCTCCCCCTTCATTGTCAAATTGAATCCCGAGTATCTTTTGTTCGGTCTGGGTCACAGTCAGGGGAAGTCCTGTCTTCTCAGTCTCTGTCCATGGTCCATAAAATTGGGCTTGCGTCTTGCTTATGTTCAATTTTGACCCAGAGGCCTGTCCAAACCAGTCAGTTAAGTCCAGCGTCCTGTTGACAGATGAAAGATCAGTACATAAAAGGTTGATGTCATCCATATATAAGATACATTTTGTTTGAAGGCCCCCGCTCCCTGGAATATGTACCCCAGTGATTTGTTGTTCCCTTCTCAAGATCTGTGCAAGTGGTTCTATACAGATAATGTAGAGGAGGGCTGATAGTGGACAACCTTGACGGACACCACAGTTTATATTGACTGCTTTTGTCAGATGCCCATTTACAATAAACTTGCTGGTAGTGCCCCGATACAGCAGTGCCACCCAGTCTATAAACCTCTTCGGGAACCCCATTTGTTTTAATACCTGGAAAAGGTACTGGTGTGAGACCCGGTCAAAGGCTTTCTCAAAGTCTAAATTTAGGACTACAAGCTGAAAGTTTCTATCTCTCGCAAAGCAGATGGTGTCTCGGATCAATAGGAGGCTGTCTGTGATCTTCCTCCCCGGCACGGCACAGGCTTGATCCGGGTGGATCAGCTCTTCTAAGAATAAAGACATACGTGCTGCTAAGAGTTTGCTAAAGAGTTTGCAGTCAAGGTTTAAAAGTGTTATAGGTCTCCAATTTTTTAGGTCCGTCTTGTCCTTGTTTTTGTGTAAGAGTGTCACTATCCCTGTTGTGAAACTGTCAGGAAGTCGGCCTAGACTTTCAAAGTCCGTAAATACATCATGAAGGTCAGGTGCTAGCAAATCCCAAAAGGTCAGGTAGAATTCCAAGGGAATCCCATCTTCCCTGGCGATTTCCCTGTCTTGAAAGTTTTCAAGCATTCGTTCAATTCTTCAATTTTAAAATCTTGGGTTAAGATAAATGTTTCCTCCACTGTTTTTTCGATAAAAAGTAAAACTTCTGTCATTATTTCCTGATTCACAGTTTTTTTTCTATAGAGTTCACTATAAAATGTCTCAACAGTTTCTATTATTTCCAATGTCGTTTCAGCTGTGGACCCATTTTCAGTTTTCAGCCTAAAAATGCCGCCCCCCTTATTTATAATTTTTTTAAAGAAGAATCAGGTGCACTTTTCTCCTTCTTCTATTTCCCTCTCTTTACTTCTTAAAATGACACATTTACTTTTAATTTCCGCTAAAACTGACATTTCTGTTTTAATTTGTTTTATTTCTTCATTAAAGTCCATCCCTTGTTGGTTTAATTTAAAGTATCGCTGGAGTCGTTTCTGCAGTCCCATCATGCGTCTATTGTCCCTATGTTTATTTATTTTACCTGCCTGTCTAAAGAAAGTCTGAGTCCTTCTTTTCACCATTTCCCACCACTGTGCATGTGTATCGTATGAGTCTTGAAGGGTCTGCCACTCTTGGTACTGCTCCCTATACTGTCTAACTAAGTCCCCATCTTCCAGGAGGGAGCAGTTGAACTTCCACAAACCTCTTCCTGCTGTCACACCATGAGGGAGTGAGAGGGTGCAGGAGAGCATTGTGTGATCAGAAAAGAAGACGGGTGTCATTCTAGCATCAGTCGGTGGGCTATCTCGTGTTAAGATATAATCTATACGAGAGGCTCTGGTGCCATCACTACTGAGCCAGGTGAAACCCTCTTCCCTAGGATGCATGGCTTTAAAGCAGTCCGTTAGCTTAAAGTCTTTGCACATTTTCTGTAATAAGACCGATGTTTTATCAAGTGTAAAATCATTTCCTGTTCTTCTCCTATCACTTTTGTTCAAAATACAGTTAAAATCTCCACCTACAACTAAGGGTGCCCTACCTAGCATGTGGGGTTGCAGCTCTTCTAAAAGGTCGTACCTATCATTCTTGTCGTTAAAGCCATAGATATTTAAGACGTTAAAGTCCTTTCCCATGAAAGTCAAGTGTACTAGAAGTGCCCGACCATCTTTCACCAGTAGTCAGTTATTCCCCTCTTCTCTGAGACCATGGGCGAATCAAGGGACAATTCTGATACATGCCTCTTGGACTGCTGTGCGTTGGGGGGGGGGGCGTCGTTGCTGTCGCTCTGCGGCTGAGTGTCAGTCTCCCCTTCACTTTCAGGCACAGCTCCGCCTCCTTCCTGCATTGTATCCCCTCCACCCTCCATTGGCTGGGCACTTACCAGTCCCTCCCCTTCCCCTGTGGGAGAATCGGACGACAACCCTGACAAACATTCTGCTAAAGGCCTCATGGACTGCTGCACATTGGGGAGGGGGGGATCATTGCTATCCCTCTGCGGGTGAGTGTCAGGTTCCTTTTCCTTTTCAGTTTCAGGTATAGCTCCGCCCTCTTCCTGCGTTGTAACTTCTTCACTTTCTATTTGCGGAGTATTTACAGGTCCCTCCCCTTGCCCCTCCTCATCTGCTCCCCTTTTCTCCATTCACAGGATTTGGGGGGAGGTTTGCATTTTCTGTCCCCGCCTCTTCAATTAGCCCCTCACCCGTTTTCTTTTGTCTGCCATTTTGTCTACTCACTCTTGTAGCCTTAAGCTTGTTGGCAAAAGACTGAGGGCAATCTCTGAAGAGGTGGTTGGATTCTCCACAAAGATTGCACTTTCTGCCATTTGTGCACTCCTCAAAAATATGCCCAATTTGTTTGCATTTGCGACACACCATCTGCTGGCATGCCTCCGCCAGGTGCCCATGCTCTCCACACTTGCGGCAGAGTTTGGGCTGTTCCTGGTAGTGAATGTAGCCCCTGTTGTTCCCCAGTACTATCATAGATGGGAGTTGTTTAAGGCCTTGAAAGCCTTGGGGGTCTTGCCCTTGTTGAATGGGGACCCGCCAGGCACAGTTCCAAATGCCGTCCTCATCTCTCACTTTGGTAGCCGGGCCTTTTACAGTGCAGTATCTGCCCAGCCAAAAGTGAATGTCTTCTGCAGTTACTGTCTCATTGAACATCCTGACAATGACTACTTTCAAGGCATTGTCAGTTAGTTTCTCAACAGCAAAGGCAAAAAACTGGGCTTTTACAGTTTCAAATTTAGTCCAAAATTCTCTAAAAGGGTACGGAAGCTAACATCGAAGCCTTTGTTAAAAGGAAGGGTGAGGATGCAGTTCAGATCCTCAGGGGAGAAGTTCAAAGCTTTTTGAATGAGGTTCCTGGAGAAGTCCAATCTGGACAACGCCAGCTGCCTCCCATCCTTCTCCACAAAAGTGAACCTCACACTATGGTGCCTCTGCATGCCGGCATGGTTGGCCGACATGTTGGAGGCACCACACACTTAATTGGATCTGAGTTAAAAACAGCAGACAGTGATCCCGGACCATTAAATACTTAAAAGAGGGTACTCACACTTCCCTGGTTCAGCTGCCGGGGCCAGACGGTGAGGTGTGAAACCGATGTTCCAGGTAAGTTTCTCCCGGGTCATTCCTTGGTTCAGTTGTTGGGGCCAGAGGATAAAGTTTGCAACCTATGATGTTCCCAGATCTGCAAAGACAGTGAATAACAGAGGAACAATGCACCAATACAATACAATATCCTCCCAAATGAGGAGCAGAAAACAGTGCCACAACAGGCAAATGTTTTCCTTCCAAAGGGAGGTGACCGCTGTCTTAGCCAAAAGACCAAGAGCGCAGTTTCTGATAAGAACAGATACTACACTTGATCTTAGCCAAAAGGCCGAGAAGCGATGACCCTTAACGTTTGCTGCAGGAGACGGACTCGTTGCGCAGTCACCGCCGGTCTTGGTGCGGCTCTTTTGACCTGGCATAACAGAGGCGCTGCGTAACTGGGTTAACCCCTAACCCTAACCCTTTTCTTGTCTTTCACAAACTCAGAATGCTCAGCCAAACGGCCAAGCCTACCAAAAATAGGTTGAACTCGTAGGTGTTCCTCTCCACGGAAGTCTTTAGTAAAAGGCGAAAGACTTATACGCTTTGAAGAGAAACCAGAGTAATTGTGGAGGCCGTCCTCGAGAACAGACAGCACCGCAGTTGTCCCAGTCCAATCCCTCGCGGTGAAAGTGCAGTTATGCGCCCTGGAGGTATTATACTATTTACTAAATGTATACCCAGGATTCAGGCACCTTCCCTGGCTTGTAAAGTGCGGTGATGCGCCCTGGAGGTATCAGACTATTTAAAAAATGTATACCCAGGATTCAATCACTTTTCCTGGGTTTTAAAGTGCAGTGATGAGCCCTGGTAGTATCAGACTATTTTAAACAACTTTTCCCCGCCTTTCAAACACTTATTTCTGGGTTTTAGCCAATCATTTTGCACAATATAATTTAACATTGACCCTCTCCTGAAAATGTATATATTCTGTGCATTTCCAGGAGAGGTTCAATGTTAAATTATATTGTGCAAAATGACAGGCTAAAACTCTCTTCCAGACATTTAAAAACACTTTTCCCGACCATTTAAACCTTATTTCTGGCTTCTAAAGTGCAGTGATGCGCCCTGGATGTATCAGACTATTTCAAACACTTATTCCTGCCTTAAAAAGTCAGGTGTTGCACAGCCTGCTCTCTGGGTACACTCTGTCTCTATTCACACCACTTTTCCCAACACTTCCCAATAGTATTTTGAACACTATTCTCGGGTAAACATGTTATGTTTTCACCGTGGTTGTCTTTGTCCTGCTGCTGCTGCAGCAGCCTGGTTCTCTGGGTACTCTCTGTCCACATTTAAGACAGTTTCCCTGCATTTTAATCACTATTTCTGCCTTGGAAAGTGAGGTTCTCTCCACCCTTTTCCCCCTATAATGATTTTAAATCATTATCTTTGCATTTAAATGCATTTATTATATCATTAATATGGTTCCCTAGCACAATGCACATAGTCTGGAGCTCACTGGGTTCTTGCATATGCTTTAATCAGGCGTTTTAACACTTTTTTCCATGAAAATGATTTTTAATCACTATCATGTGGCTATATAAATCAAATTCCGGGTAATGCGGGGCACAATTGTACCTTTTACTATTTAAATGTATTTGTATTATATATGTTTGGGCTGGAAAAGGGACATTTCTGGGTGATTTTGTCAGTTTATGGAGCTTAGCCCACAAATCCTGGAGGTTCCAGGCCGAATTCGGATGCTCATAGGCGGCCTGCCATGCGCACCCACCCGTGGAAAGAAGAAAAAAGTGAAGAAAACGGTTAATGATATCTTAAAATAATCAAAAATGAAGTTTTAAAAAATTGTCGAAAAAATTACTCATGCCCCTTTCACACCAACGCGTTTTCAGCGCCGGCTCGGAGCTAGAGCCTGAAAAGTACCGGTTTTTCCTGTTCACACCGCAGCGGCGCCGCCTCTTAGCTCCTGGAATCCAGTTCGTTTCCAGCTCCAAAAAATTGTTAAGCTAAGAGGCGGCGTCGCTTACGTCTCTCTTACGTCGAGGCGTGCAGGAAACTAAACCCACCTCCCCTGAACATGGGTCGACTGAAGAGTCTCGTCATGCCTGCCTACAAGCAGTAGCGCTGAGCAAAGTGACTAGAAGACAACCACACACAAAAAACACACTTTATAAAGTCAGGCAACATGAACCAGGCTTCGTGTGATTCTGTTTATTTGTACCTTACTTTGACCATCCGTTCGCTGTTATTGATCATTGTGGAGAGCAGGCAGACGTTTTGTTTTTTATTATAGCAGCTATCGGGTGGAATCAATACATGGGCTGCACAGGTTGTCATGTCCGACTATCACAAGTAGAATCATAATGAAAAATATGCCGGTAAAATGTGCCTGTAGAAAACGGCTTAGCAAGTAATCAGTTTAGCTTCGGTTGCTATTCTAACATCACCCATGTTATACCAGAGAAACTTTCATAACAGCGTTGTGATGCCAAACAGCGTCAATTCAGACTGACACACATTCACTTAAGGGCAACTGGGGATATGTATCAGCTGCTTGTGTGACAGTCAGACAGTGAATACTTTAGAGCCGTGTGAGCTAACCCAGAGCTAACGGGAGAATAAACTCCCGTGGAAGAGCAGCCAGCACTGCAGCGGTCGGTAAATGCCGCTGAAACACATTCATAAACAATGAACCACGGCACTCTGGAGAAAAGTATAAGGTTGGAGAAGTCGTTATTTAATTTAATCTGGCTTCGTATGATTAAAAGCAACACGATCATCGACCCGACGCAGTCCCCCGTTGTTGTTGTTGTGAGCGCCGTTGGAGAGCAAATCAGCGATGTAAACGGTGACGTCATGACGCAGCAGCGGCAGCACCATCCCGGCTCTGAGTGGTGTGAACAAAGCGGGAGCAGAAAAGGGAAACCGGAGCTGAACCAGAAAAGCTCTAGCTCGGAGCTAGAAAGGGTTAGCGTTAGCGTTCGTTAAGTGCTGATTTAGACGCTTGGTGTTGGAATTGTGTTTCGTTTAGGTAAAAATGGTTATTATCATCTGTTAGCTTAGTTTCTTCCCGTTAAGTGGGTATGCAACGTTAATAGGTTGTTACATTGTAACAAGCCCTGGGACGCTGTGGTACCGGGGGCAATTGTGCTTAACGGGTTAAGAATACTGCCCTGCAGTTTTGCATTATAATTACTGCCATTTTTTTAATTAACATTAAGCCTAGCTAGCTGTACAGCTAGCTAGCTACCTAGCACTACCTAGCTAATAGCTTTATTCAACAAGCTACACCATTAGCTATCCCTCATTCACGTCACTGTTAGTTAGCTAACGTTAGCTAATAGTTTACCATATTTTACGGCAAACAGCCTCTGCAGGGCAGAATACCACTAACACCTGTTCTAGTGCAGGGGTCGGCAACCCCTGGCATGCGTGCCACCATTGGCACGCAGGACCGTAACCAGTGGCACACTAGGAATAAGTGTGCAAAAATATTTAAATTGTATTTTCGGATCCTGAACGAGACCGCCGGCAGAGCGCGTCTCCCCCTGCAGAAGGAAGCCATGCACGCAACACAGCGCAGAAGGATAACTTCATGGTGAAACGATCAGGGGTGTAGCGCACTTCACTCATTGCAGTATAAGGAGCTGTACATGCCGCAGTTTTTGCGTGGCTGTGTCTTTAATTGAAAGCCCAGTGGCGATCTGCTCATCTGTCATCGAAAATAATATGCTACACAGGGGACTGGCCAACTGTGTGTTCTGGAGAATCACAGTACGTCCGGTTGTCAGCGAACCGAGCCGGTCGCTAGCGGGCCGTTGACGACCGGGCTCGGTTCGCTGACGGCCGACACCGCCCTTTATTTATTTAAATGTGTTTAAACGCAGGGTTGCCAACTCTCACGCATCTGGCGTGTGACACACGCTTTCACTCTCAATCTCACGCTCTCACGCTGCCCAAACTATTCTCACGCCAAAAACAAGAATACCGAAGACTAGAAACGGTTTTGAAAACTTTTGTCACGTAGTGATCGTCTTCTCAATAGAACATCTTTGATAATGTCTTCTGGCCAATCAGAATCACGATAACGGCGTGGTGTTGTTGCAGGAAATCCCGACGGAGAATACTTTTGCGGTAGTACATCTCTATACATCGATACAACATTACGTGTTGATAGAAATCAACACGTAATGGAATAAGACCCCACGGTTTGATGATTGATAAGTGTGTGGGCTGTCTTTCATTTTGACACACAGAACAATGGGGGCTATCCACCCTTAACACAACAAATTAAGATTGCTTTTATCGCTCTTGCTTGGCTTCCAATACTAATTTCTTTCTTTGGTGCAGGTTCTACTTAAATTGAAAGGGGCACCGCTGCATGTGCCTTAAAATAAACTATGCAACATATAAATCTATGTAAAATTGAAATTGTTGTCTTGGCTTATTGTTTTCAGGTGCTTCCTGGGCATTAATCCTGAGACGGGCTCGAAAGCCAAAAAGAGACATGGCAATTTAAACCCCCATGTCAGCACATTCTTCAGAAAAATGGTTGGCTTCGAGTGGATGTCTGTGTAGACATGTGTTAAGTGCTCCCCTCCTTGTTTTCTTTTCTGTCTCCCTGCTGCGCATGTTAGTGCGCATGGGGTGCACCTGGTCTGCCCCTGGCTCCGCCTCTGCCCAGGTGTTCCAAATTCCACTCAGCTGTGTGTATATAAAGAGAAGCTGGAGGAGAAGGATGTCTCGCCTATCCTAACGCCGGGAGACACTCTCCTTAGAATACCTCTTTGCCATTTTGAACTGTAGGCCATATTTTTGCTGATGTTTTATGTTTAGCCTGGAGGACCTGGTAGTCCAGTTTTCGCGGCTTTATTTTGTTTCTCATAGGGTTTATAATAGATTTCTGGTTAGGGGGGGGGGAGCTCTGTGGCTGGCTCGGGTTCCCTCCTTCTGTTTGTTCCTTTTGGCCAGTCCTCCAGACCTCTTTTTGTTTCCCGTTTCACTTGTGTGAGCAAACGGCTGATGATCAATAAATGCTCGTTACCAAGTACCGGTTATTGCGTGTATTCTTTCATGTTGCGGGTCTCAGCACGAGCCACTACCACGGAGTAGAGGTTGGGGCCGTAACAACATGTCCAAGACACTGTGAAATGTACTTTGCACTTCAATGGAGTAATACAAAGTTAAAATGGGCATTTTCTTTGTTTTTCTTTGTTGATTGAGCTGATTGAATTGTGTAGTTATGGTAAAATCCCAGTTAACTAGTCAAATTTACAATATATTATCGTATTATTTACATTTTTATATTTACAGTAAATTACTGGCTAATGTGTTGCATTACTTAAGTAAAAGTGTGAAAATACAGGTAATTACTGTAATTTATGTACAGCAAGGTACCATAATACCACAGCTCTGTACTGCTATATCACAGTAATTCCATGGGCATGGCAACTGTAAAGTCACAGTATTTAGTTATATTTTTATTCTAATTTACTGTAAAATATCTACAGTAAATTACTGTGAAATATTTACAGTCAATTACTGTGAAATCCATGCAACTAGTAGCCAGTAATTTACTGTAATTTTACAGCCAAACATTTTA